ATTTTATTGTGCAACATCCTTTGCATTTTACACAAATATGTTTTGTAGTTTTGGACTCAAGGAGCTGGCTATTTATGAAGGCATATGAATAATGCATGTACAACATCGCTAAATGATAGATGCTGCCTATTTATTTCAGAGGAGTTCATTAATGAATCAATTATTTATAATTATTTATATAGGATGACTAATGCCATATGTAACTGTATTTAATGAACCCCCTTGGTAATTGCAACAGAGATAATAACAAAAAGGACAACACAGGAAGTCACAAACCAGGAAAGACCTCAAGGCACATGAAGGGTTAAATTTCTACTCCTTTTGGAAAATTTCTACTCTAGTGCAGCCTACTGAATGAACAGCATGTAAAACTCCTGCAAACACCAAAAAACAGTAAAATCTGTAGGCTTTTTTATGTGCTACTAGATTTGGAAACTTAGGTTCCTTTTTAGAGGAGCGTGGCAAAAGCATGCAGGCAAAAAGCTATCCTAGCAAATACAAAGAACAGACTGGAAAAGAAGGGAGATCTTACATATTGTTTTCTTGTTCTACTTAAAAAGTGCACTGTTGTAATTGTATTTTTTTAAATTTGATATACATTGGACATTTTGGGCTTATTTTTTCCTGTATTTAGTCTATGTACACATCTTGCAACTCTTTGTACCTGTTTTTCTGGTTTTTATTACTCTAACTTATTGGTACTGAAATTCAAGTAAAACTTATTAGATACCTGTAACTGTTACTGCTGTTAAGAAAATAAAATACATAAGAAAAATATCTGCTCAAATATTGTGCTATTGATCATTGATAAAGACCTTGTAGCTTACAAAGCTGTAGTAAAACTGGCTTGAATCTCTAAAAGTACTTGCATGGCTTTTAGTGCAGTCGAGGATGGATTGCTGTTGTTTGCACATTTACATTCTTACTGCTACCAAAAATGAATGGTTGTGAGATGTTACTACATGTGGGATGAGCTTGGTGGAGTAGTTTGGTATATGTTGTGTACAGCAGAAAAGTTTGTGCAAACACCATTATTATTTTAAGATTAATGTAAATTGTCTTTCAAATATCTTGTTTCATACAATGACGAGCTAAAAGGAACTTCTGGGAGCATTGTAAGGACAGGATTCTTCTCACCCTGTCTGAGGCATTTACAATGGAGATTTCTAGAACTTAACGTAGATCACCCGGGGCTCTTTGTCATCATTAAAGAGGAATTGATGACTTTGGGGCATGTTTGATCTTAGCTGATTTTAAATATTTGCTTTAGGAAAAGTGGAATCACATCCTGGGATACATTTGCTTTAGGAAAAGTGGAATCACATCCTGGGATATGCAGATTCTTTTGATTTTACCTGTACTGATGGTGGGGATAGCTCTGCATGTACGCAATGGGCATCCAGGATGCTGTGAGCTGAGCCAGAAGATGGTGAAGTCCCAGAAAGCAGTCCCTGGCAGCCAGAGCTGCACCTGCACAGGCCTGGGGAGCTGCCATCACGCTGGGTCTGGTGTGTAAGTGGAATTAACTGTGTTTCCAAGCCTAAGAGGCATGTTTAATCCTCATGAGGAAAACTGACATCTTGAAATGAAGCACTCCGTTTCATTAAAAGGCATGCCATGAGGAGCCAACTATCTCAAAGGAAGGAGAATTTTCTCTAAATATTCAGGCAGGTGCTCTCTGTGCAAGGTCCTGATAACAAGAACCTGTCCTGCTAGCATGTGTGGTAAGCTCTTCGGCAGTGGGAGGACTCTCTCCTTTTAAAATCATGACAATAAACTCAGCCAAACAAGTAAAAATTGATCTAAGATCCAAGAATATGCATCTCCCTTGAACAGGGGAGCCCCAGGCTGTTGCCCTGCTATGATAATTATTTCTACACTTACTCAACATTCAGTGTGTTTATTCCTCTGTGTTCCTTCTCCCACACAGGGGATTTAATTGCTTCAGTGCAAAATGTGCTCCTTAGGGATTCCTCTGACCAGTGCATTCTCCCAGGGTGGAGATTAGATTGTGCATAAGCCTTGGGCTGTCATTCTGCACCAAAAAGAATGTTAAAAGTAAATCTCTTTTACTGTTTGCCCTTATCTCTCTTGGTGTGGGCTGCCTTTTGGCACTCAGAATGGCACTTGCTAGAAATTTGCTCCCAGGAATGAACAGTGTTAACTCCATGGTTCATGCCAAGCAGAGTGATAAGTACATTTTCCTGCTTGCTTGTTACCAGCTTGCTGGCATCTAAGAAAGGTGGTTACATACCCTTGTTTACACACCCTTGGTGTTCAATTTGTGCTAAAATTGTAAATAGCCAGTCTGCAGGTTGGTAAGCTGTCTGGTGGGCTCAGGCATGAATATAATATATTCAGAATGAAAGTCTATAACTGAGCTGTGGCAACATTCTTTGAAGGAAATTTAATACATCCTCTTTGTTGTATGTAAGATCTATTTTGTTAAAAATAGAGCAAAGTTATAATAGGATTTGATCACCCTGACTGGAGCATTGTAAAAGAGGGGCCAGGCACTAAACCATTGATGCTCAAATCAGGGGAAAAGCTAGTTAGCTTCCCTGGCATTAAGGGAATGAATTTTTAGAAAGCCATTCATTGATATCTGACAAACAGCTTGAAAGGGATGCCAAACCCTCAGGGTTTCTGTCAGGAGCCTTAAAATGCATTTGCATATTTTTTGCACGGAAACAGGAGCTCTCTCTCTGTTGCCAAACTGCAGAACTAAAAGGATGCAAAAACTCTATCTAATCCAAAGGGCTCTGAGGGGTAACTTCATAATCAGAATTCAAATGTGTGCAACAGATTAGGAAAATGACTTCAAATGGGATTTCAGCCATATCTAAAAGAGGCACGGAAATCCTGAACAGATTGGTAGGCAAAACATTACCTGCACTGCTGTTAAAATGCTTGGCTTTTTTCTCTGGGCATTTCTCATGTAAAAAATAGCTCACTGATGCCATCTGTTTACACAGATTAATGTTGTTTAAGGTGCTACTGCTTACTTTTCCTGATAGCAAATGTAATTTTTCTTCTGACAGTTTTGATTTCTCCAGGTGATAGGCATACCATTATGGATGAGAGTGACAGAGGAATAAAGAAGTGGTGATCCTCCACATGCAGCCAGCGTATCCAGTGGTCCCACTGGATACCACTGGTTGGTTGTCTTTCCATTAGCATTTGTCCTTCCTATACCATTTGCTGGCAGCTGTTGTGGATGGAACCGGAGTCCCCTGGCCTTGAAAGGGTGCCTTGCCAGCATGGGCAGCTCTGCTGAAGTGCAGAATCTGTGTCAGTGTGAGCTGGAGCTTGAGCTGCTCTTATGCCTGTCCTTTTCATTAAATGGTTTCCTTGTCTGATTCCAAATGTGATTCTGTTCTTTCCTTTATGGGAAATGCTTGCAAAGACAACCAAGCATCTGGGGCCAAGACTGTGCTTAATGTGCAGGTGGTGTTTTGTTGGCAATATCCTCCATGTCACAGGCTAACTATCAGGCTTTTATCATTTTGAGGAGGAAGCTGATGTGTGCAGTGAAATTCATGATGGGTGAAAATGCCATGTAATTTTTAGCAGATAATTTTACTCTCTGGTCATCCACCCATCCAGGCTGTAATATGAGTAGAGTTCTCATTATGCTAACAGAGTTGACATTCAAATTTCCCATACATCAAGTGAACAATAGACTTCCATTGTGTGTACATGGCACTGCCATTGATCTGATTGATCTGGAGTTGCAGCAGAGGATATGATCAGTGATGTGTGAACAGGAAAAGCACAGTTCACTCTCTCCATGAATGCCTATATTAGTCAGAACTGTCCTTGAAACAAAGTCCTAATAAGAAAATCAGTATTGATACAGTTAGATTACAGTTCATAAGATTATGATGTTAGAAAATCAATAAATAATCCGTGACTTAATTTGTGGATTTGTGCAACACTGGTGAGGTTTTACAACTGTAGAAAAAGATTGGTATATTTTCTTTAAAGATCTGGCTCTATATCTGTATAGAATGACTTTTTATTTCCTTACCCTTCATTTTCAAGGCTCATGTACATCAGTATAGGCTGATGTACAGAGATTTAAAAGACAAAGAGTATTTGTGGCTTCACATCCCTATTCTAAAGAAAAGTGGTTTTAAATGGTGGAAGAGGTCTTTCAGTATTTCAGAAGAAATGTTTTTGCCAAGTTTGTGTGGTTGGCATCAAATCAGGAGTGTTAGGCATGTCTCCTGCCTCTTGGAAAGATGAGCTGAACACGAGACTGTTGGCAGAGCAATGTGCTTCTTCATTAAAGAGAAACATTGATTTGCTGGGGTTTTGAGCCTTGTCTGCAGATTCTTGGGGGAATGGCCCAGCTTTCCCTGGAAAGGGTGGAGGAGATTCCTGGGCAGGATAGCTCAGAGCTTGGTGAGAGTGCTCTGTGGAGGGCTGCATGTGAGCAGGACACAGAGACTGAGCTGATGGTCTGTGTGGGACTGTTGGTGGGACGGGGCATCCTGCTTGGCAGCTGTGCAAAGCACCTGCATAAGCAAAACCTCTCCTGTTTCCATTTTTGCAAGTGAAATTATTACTTGTCTAAGAAGTACGGGGCTGTTTGGGGCAGCTCTGATTCTGGTACTTGGAATCAATTCGTGGATCTGAGTTCTACACTCTGGTAGAGCTGCTGAGGACCATGGAAATCAAAAGATTTTAGCTTCACTTTGAAAGCATTATTTTGAGCAGCAATAGGCTTGCTTCACTAAGGTAATTTTGTAGTAAAGGCAGTCTGAAAATATATTCCACATTTGGTGATATTCAGGTCTAGTTTCTTGAAACGAAAATTGTGAAGAAAATATTCCACTTCCTACAATGTCAATATAGTCCAAGGACCAGTGTTTATATAGAAATATATCTGTTGCAATTTTAGAAGCCCTCATTTTGATATAATTAACTATCCTTTTTTTTCAGTAAATAGGATAATCATTCAATTTTCACCTTGATTTCCATATTTTTGTTTCCAGCAGAGTCAAAATGTCAGACAAAAGTGATTTAAAAGCTGAACTTGAGCGCAAAAAACAACGTTTGGCTCAGATAAGAGAAGAAAAGAAACGGAAGGAGGAAGAAAGGAAGAAAAAAGAGGTAAATCTGTAAAGCCACCTTTTAGATAGCTTATGCTTGCACAAGGGGCTTGCTGAGGTTTTGACATCTCAGTATTGTATGCCCCAAGATATCTGTCATGTGGAATGAGATACTCAAACCCACGTCAGACTAACGTGAAAATCAAAAAGCTTATTTTTAGTCAAGAATGTTGGGGTGAGGGAATTGCTTTTAAAACCACGGCACTGTCAAATGACAACAGTTTAGACAACATGATGTGCATGTGTATGGAGTAAGAAAAATTGATTTGCCACAATGCTTTTTCCTGGACTCTCCTTCAATGGAAAGGGAGTGGAGAGTGGGCAAAGACAGAAAGAGGACTCACATTTTTTCAAGCCATTACAATCTAAATATGTATTTTAGTACTCTGAAGACTAGTTTGATTACTAGCTAAGGTAACAGGTTTACAATTATTATTCTCCAGTAAAGTAAAACATAATTGCAATTGCATTTTCATCTTCTGGCATGGGTGCATCTTTCAGTTCTGTTAAAGTTTGATTGACATATTAGTTTATTTGTCCTTGACAATATGCATTAGGTTTATCATTAGGGGATTTGTACTTCTTTTTATTCAGTCACTTAGTGGAATAGAGGTGAGAATTGACAGGGAGAGGATATTCATTTTCATGCAAAGTCAGAGAAGCATTAAGTGATTATGCTTCCTTTCCTTCAAATGTCAACACTTACTATAGTTTAAAGCACCTGTTATCCTTTACTAATAACTGGTTTCCTTTTAAACTGACACTTTAATATTGTACATGAATTTCATGGAATTACCGTGGAAATGTGATGTGATCCAAGAAATCAGCATTCCAGTTTTGGCTGTCTTTTTAATCTTTTTTTCATTTGAGCCACATTTGTGCAGTTACAGCGCATGCCCCGGTGAGGCTCCTGGACTCACTGGGGAAGTCCTCCATAAGCAGATCTTTAAATGGTAATGATTTCAGGGTTCATTAATAAAGAACAAGAGAGACAGGGGCCAAGCTAATGGCTCGAGGGAGCTCTTAGGTCCTTTCTCTTTGTCCCCTGACTCTGACTTTATGCCTCATGGAGAACTTGTGGTGGTTGAAACTTTCCATTGGCCCCGAGAGCCACGTCTGCAGATAATTATGCTGCCATGCATAATTGTGTAAATGGGTTGTGCTCTGGTGCCAGGTGGTGCAGGAGTGAAGGCTGACACTCACAAAGGTGCTTGGCCATTCACACTGGTGCTGGGGAGCTGTCTACGAACCTACAAGCTGTGAGATAGTTTGTAGGAAGAGCTGAGCACAGGAATATGCCTGCACCTTGATTATAAAATCAATGTTTCCTGTCTCTGAACTGGAGAACATGAGCATTCTGAATTTCCAGGTTTTCTGTTGCGCCTGCACCAAGATCAACACCAGTCTGAGGAGCTGTACAAGTCCTCTTTTCCAACACTGGTTTCAGCAGAAAGGGCAACCTCATTGTGGGATTCTGGCAAATGCAGGTGCTCCTCCTGTTTTTAGATTCCCACAGATCAGCATGGGAGAAGGCTAATGTGTGGAAGCTCCAAGGAGGTAGAGATAGCTAGGCAGAGAGGGAAGGGTCTCGTGGACATTTAGTGGGCCAAGGGCTGCCAAAGTTCTGGTTTAGAGATTCCAGTTCTTTCCTTTGCACCTCTTGGATATTGAAGCTAATGAGTCTCTATTTCTTTTCCCAGCAAGTGCTTGGGAGCAAATATAGGACCTTAAGCTACATCACTGAAATGCAATGAAATTTTTTTCTTGATTCTGAAGTAAGTAGGAAAGGGCCAGTTTTATTCAGGGTAATGATACTTGTTTTATGGTCAGCTTTTATGTTAGTTGAATAAGTTGCACCTACTGAGTGAAAGGCAGAAAACTTCCATTGTTGTCCTGTAAAAATTCCTGCATATATCCTTGCAAAAAAACAGTTTTACCATCCATTTAGGGAAAAATACTGTTGCTGATATATACAGTATAAACTATCTAAGTTATAAATTACCTGAAAGTATCAAAATGAATTTCAAATTGTACCTAAGCGGTAGTGCATACAGTCATTTCCACACATTTAATTGCTAGAGCTGGTTATATAAGAAATAAACTTTTCTGTTTTCTTCTGGTTTAACTCAGGCTGATCTACAGCAGAAGAAGGAGCCAGCTCAGGAGGATTCTGACCTAGACCGTAAAAGAAGAGAGACAGAAGCTTTGTTACAGAGCATTGGCATATCCCCAGAACCACCTCTAGGTATTTAAGAGAAGCACACTGAAAAGCATTCAGCTCTGCCACAACTAATGCTTTCTTTCTACTAAAGCATGCTTGGCTTTTTTGATTTTTGGCTGTATTAGTGAAGTGAACTCTTCTGTTTGAATGCCTGCCATACCATTCACGTATACAAACTCATGGCATTTTGAGTACTTGTCATTGCCAAAAACATCTGTTTCATTTCTTCAAGAATTTTTTATGAACATAATGCAGGTTGGTTTTGCATACCAGCAGTGATTTCTTTTCTGATGGACTGTTTTTTCTTCTCACTCAAAAATATAAGTGCTAACTTCATTAGCCCCAAGTTTTGTTTCAAAAATTCAAATTAAGCATTTGTAAGGAAGGAGGAACATAGTTATGTGGGAACTCCCACTGTGTTTCTTCTAAAATTAAGAAAAGCTGGAGAAGCAAAATTAAAAAAACAAATCACAAATAGACAAACATCAACAGACACTATTGTAGATTTTTTCTCTGGTTTCGTCTGCTTGACATCTTTTTTGGTTTTTATGTTTTAGTTCTAGAACCTGAAGGCTTCAGTTTAAAAACACATAGAGTACCTGAGTATGGACTGCCTTGATTAAGATCTGCCTCATTTATTGAATGATCCTAAAGTGAGACATTTCCTTCCATTTCCCCTCTTTTCTTTCCCTTTCCCTTCCCCTTCCCCTTCCCCTTCCCCTTCCCCTTCCCCTTCCCCTCTCCCTCAAATTTGGGATCACTCCCACTGTTTTAGCTGAAACCTTGGCCTCCCTGAAGCTATCAAGCCTTTTCATTAAGCTCATTGTGACAGAATCTAGGATTTTGCGCCTGGTTATTCTTGCCAGTAATATATAGGAGAAGCTTCAAATTTGATGAAATGTTGAAGTTTTGGTTTAGGAAAGCCCCTTATACAGATGCCTGGGTGCATATGCAATAGATAGTGACATTCTGAATTGGAATTTGAATTAATTACTTCCATCAACCAACATTCATTGAGAAAAGTTACTTTTTTTATAAGTTATGGTAGAGTGACTAAAGCTTTTAGACCCTACTTTTCAGAAGAATTTTCTGACAAGTAATGGTTAGGCTATTTTTATGTATAATAAAATATATTTTTAAAATTATATCATGATACAAAAGTAAGGTCCAAGATAAAATCAGATATAGCATTAAAAATACTCATTTTTATGTAAGAATGAATATATATGTCCTTATGAATTTATTAACCAAACACATATATTCATATTTGCAAGTTCTCAGTTTTTATGATAGGTATTTTTTTATGTTTGATACTTTCAAAGTAACACATAAATTCACATGAAAGATGATTCCTTTTAGTTAAAAATAGTGTTTTGTTCTCTTTTGTTCCCTTTGCATACACTCACAATTAATACAGAAAGGAGGATTTAATTCCACCTTCCCATGATGCCAGGCCTCACTGTGAATATGGAATATGTAAACAACCAGACATACCTGTAACCTGCCAAAGGGCTGTCACAAAGATGAATTCACTTTTCATGCTGCAGTCATTTCTGTGACAGTCTCTAGGGAGAATCTGCATTAAATGCTTGACCATATGGAAAATCCGAATCTCTTGACAGGTCTGTCATTATACATTGTAAGGCATAACAAAGTATTTTAAAGTTTTACTCTGTTAAATCTATAAAAAGAAATGCACATGATTTGAACCAAATGGAAACATTGCTTTTGCATCAAAAAAACCTCTCTTTTTGTGTTTTATTCGATGTGGCTGCTTTGAAGAATACTTGCTTTAAATCTTGACTGGAGCCATCTCTTAATTTTTAATATTTTTGAGAAACCATTTTAAAAGAAATCAGGATATTTTTACTCTTTTATTTATTATTTCTTTGCTGAAGAGCTTTAACTCAGGCTGACCTTGAGCTATGAACTTCCTTTCCTGTTTCAGGAAACAAAACTGCCTTTGCATGAAATATGCTTCAAAAGCCCTGGCAAGGCGAAGAGAAAATCATTTCAAGAGCTTGGGCAAATAGTGTCTAAACCAAGGGAAACTTTTCCTTGAGTGTTGAAATCATGTCCCATCCAAAATGGAAATTTTGTATGACCCACATTACTTAAGAAAACAATCACCAAGTAAACTGTGTCTTCTCAGCACATTTGGGAAATGATTTTAACTTAGCTGATTTCCTTATTTAGCTTTTATTTTTGATGTCATTTCCACACTGCAGCCTTAGAGCATATCTAATGGACACTGGCTTTTGATTTAAATTCAGAATTTGAAAAGTATGCTTGTTCTGTTGCCTATGTGACTTTACCAGAAGAGTTCACTTAGATTTTGACAAGACAAGCCCCTGATACCTCTTCATATCTTTAAAATCTTTTGCAAGTCAACTTCAAACCAGACTCAAGCAAACAAGTGCTATTTTATTTCCACAGGTATCTTCTCCATTGATTAGCTGTAGATTCCCATTGGGCTTTCAGTCCTGTCTAGATACATGTCAGTTTTAACACTTCCAGAAGACTTAAAATTCACTTGACTCTCTTCCTTTTCTTTTTCTTTCCTTCCTTATTTGCTTTCACCATTTCAAACTCTCCTACTCATCCATCCACTATCATTTTGGTCCATTGGTTTTGATTTGTCTGACACTGCTCTTCATCAGTGCAGTCGCTGCATGTGTTAACATGGGATACCTGTTATTTTCATTATTTAGTCCCAACCCCTATGTCTCCCTCTTCGAAATCAGTGAGCACACCCAGTGATGCAGGCAGCCAGGACTCAGGGGATCTGGGACCCATAGGAAGGTAAGACACAGAGTTAACAGACTTGAATAAATGTGAGGTTTTTTTTCACTTTGCTCTTACTTGCCCGTTTTTTCCTTTTCTGCTGTAAACAAGAACATGCTGTATTGAATGTGTACGTTTGTTTCTGCATTGTCCACTGGGTGCTACCATCCAGCAAGAGTGGTCTTAAATGTGAGGCAAATAAATGCATGCAACAAACGGATCTTTAACTCTGAGCCCCAAACCTTCTAGTGGAAGCAAGAGCTGAATTTACACCTCTGAAATGGCCTACAGGAAGCTCTCATGCTGTTTGGAAATACACTAAACAAAAGAGAGATGTGCCCCAGGACAGAACCTGTTACTCATGCTGAGTTCTCTCTGTTCACGTAAGCAGTCCCCTTGGCATTCCTCCTCATGTAACACCAGGTTGCCTCAGGTTGCTGTGGCTGCTCCTTGCAGTGTGTGCCACTGACAGTGGCAGAGAAGAGCTTGGACAGGAGCAGGCTGAAACATCCCAGGACCCACTGGCAATTCTGCCTTGGAAATTCTGGATATTGGAGAGTTTCATGCAGAATGGAAGGGAAGCAGCTCTGTTCTTGTTGGCAAGTGGAATGTGTGTGAGGGATGGAAACAAGAGTAATCTTATTTTTGTTTCCATCGGGGAAATAAAAAATGAAGTGGCAATCCCAAAAGAATTCCTTCTCTGGAACAGAAAAGAAAGGAGAATGTGAGGATGCTGCTGGTAAAGAAGGGTATGTTCAAGTAAGAAGAGGTGCAAGCAGCTATAATGTATATTTTGAGAAATGTAAAAGACAGATCCTAATAGCTCTTTTTGTATCACACTAATTCAACATAGGGCTGAGCTGCCAGCTCATCCAGTCTTTGAGCCAAGACTGCTAATGGCTTGAAAGCACGGTGATTGCTCTCTGTAGTTAACAGTGCTCAGTAGAAATCATAGAATGCCTCTCCAGACATAGACTGTAATGTAACAGAGCTTCAGGTCACCAGATTTCATGACACACCAGCCTGCTGCTTAGTAGAATCACACTTCCATAGCAGACAGTATGTTGTGTCCCCTTCAGCCAGATGCAGACACTCCCTTGTGATGTGGATGATGCACAGCTGCTACTAAATCAGCTCAGCCCTGCTCCCAGGTCTACTCTCTAGAAGTCGAAGTTGCTAAGTGAAAAGCCCTAGCCTGTAAGATGTAGCAGTTTAAAAGAGAGAAAATAGTGTAATTCTGCCTTCATAAGTAAATGCAGTAGATTTCAGCGAGTCAAACTGCTTTGAGTAGAACAAAAATCCTTTTTAAGCAAAGTACAGCCTGCTGTTCAGTATGAAGCTATTTACCATAGTCCTGTGTGAAGCTCTGACAAAACTGGGTCAAGACTTCTGAATTCCTGCTTTTCCTCTGAACCTTAATGCTGTAACTTTTTTACTACTAAGGTAAAAAAAAGGCTCTTGGAAGAATTTATTTGGCTTTTACCCGTGCTAGCACTTTGGCTGTCCGTCAGCAACAAGCAATGAAAGCACATGACCACGCGTCCTTTCAGAGGAGAATGGAGTTTGTCCCCTCCTTCTGAGCTCATGATGTTCTGCATTCTGGGCTTTCACTTTGGATCCATTTTCCAGCTTCTTGTGGCTGCACTAGGAATTCAGTGGGAATCCTGAGACCTTGCTCGTAGTGTCCCAGTTTGCTTGGCATATTCTCAGGTATTGAAAGGGCTGTGCTGTGTGCCAGGAAGGCTGATTGCAGATCTTTGCCTGGAGTGATTGGTTTGTAATGGAAATGATGTCTGGTCCAGGCCCTGGGGAATGTCTGCAACCAGTGGATAGTATTGAGTGGCGGTTAGTGGAATTAGTGTCACTGGGTGCAGGTAGATGTGCTCAGTGTTTGTGTGAACAGGTGCACTCAGGCCTGCATGTGTGATAAGAGTGCCAGATGTTGAGAGGAAGATGTAGAACTGTCATCACAATGGGTAAATAGGATCAAACCACCTCAGCTGTTTTCTCTGATAGGTGCTCAGACCATGCATCTAACTTATTTTGACTACTGCATATATTCCCTGCTATCTGTATAAACAAGGTTATCCTGCTTCAATTTAATTTATTTTTCCATTTCACTTTCTGTGGTAGAGGGGACACTTCTGCTGGATCCCCTGCCATGCCATCACGCTTGTTAGATCTTTCCCTTTTCTGTTCTAGGCTGAGCTCAGGCTTTAGAGGAGAGCAGATTAGTTTCAAAGCTGCTAATGCCCCAGTCTCAGTGATCACAGCTTGTCCATTGTTGCTGCTGCAGGAATGACAGGCTCACACAGCCTGGCAGAAATCTTGCAAGCAGTCTGGTTACTCATTGCTGAAGTGTTCCCCAGAGGAAGATGATGGATATTAAAAAAAAAAAAAAATAGAAGCTGTGAAGTCACTTATTTTGGCTTGTTACAGGAGAGAGGCTCTGTTGAAAGCTTTGAGGAATGCAGGATATCGTCATATGTTCCCATGAGAGGGACCAGATTCTGGTACAGAACTAGGTCGTGCTCATACTTCTTAGAGTTGTTGGTACTTCTGGTAGTTCACAGACTTAATCTGTTGGTCCCATTATCACCAAGTATATTTGAGGTATGCTTTGATCAGCAAGCATATGTGATGCCTTATATAAAAGTGAATGTAGTTCAGCCAGGTTTACACAGGTTTATGACATCTGCTTTTCAGGAAAGAAAATTTATAAACTGGAAAATTTGAACATTTTTAAGTAACTGTAGTCCTGGAACACAGAGCTCAGCCTTACTTTGCAAGATGAAAACTGACTGGCAACTTGCTCACCAAGTGTAATAGGTACAAAGGAAAAAACAGGCTCCTCCAGCTGAAAAGGTGGAAGCAGCAAAGTGTTTGGTATTGAAGTTGGAGAAATATAAAGCAGAAAAAAATTCAATAGTGAGACAAATTTACCTAAAGACTCTGTGGGATCTTCTATCACTTGTTGTTGCTTGTCCAGGATAATGTGTGTGGCAAACAGGCAGATAATAGGTCAAACAATAAGTCATTCATAAAGCTGTACAGGCCTTTTGTTGCACAGGAAGAAAATCTGCATGGTCACAGTAGTCACTTCTGCCATGGGACCTACAGACTAGTAGTGCTGCTATCCTTCAGGACCATTGTCCATTATCTCCAGCACAACAGCCAGAGCACTGTTGTCTTTTCTCTGATGCCATTCACTGTATTAGGAGAAGAAATGGGGTGGACTTTGTAATAGCACTGAATTGTGGAACCATTTCTGTCTTCCTCATCCCAAGTTTCTATGGGATTTTTTTACTGCTTAATCTCTAGTACCATTTTGCTATTTGTCACTTGGGAAAATATTAGGTTTGAGCAGCATTCCAGGTTCCCCCTGAACCATGACAGCACCTGTAAGAATAAGCAGATGTTAGATGGATAGCTGTTCTAGAAACTGCTGGCTGAATGCTTTCAGTTGGACAGGAGAGACACATTTTATATCTGTTTTTGTGGTCTTGGGGATCATTTCTGGGTACACAGAGGTGTGTTACACTTTGATTCTGGTGCTGCTCTTAGTTACCAGGCTACACTGAACAATTCATTGGAGCCCAGTTGTTGCTCAGAGAGCAACTTACCTGTCTCCACATTGCTTTATACATCCCACTTTGCTTTTTTTGATGCCTGTATTGCTTGTGCTATACAGAGAGGATGGAAAAATTACAGAACCTGAGCAGATATCCATCTCTGAATAGATGGGTGATTTTCACAGAGCTTTCTTATATGATGTATTCAGACATTACTTATTTTTCATAAGACAATGCTGCAGGATTGAATGGAGATTCTCCTTGGAATAGAATATGCTTGGCTCTTTCAGGATAAGTGTTTTGGTTTGTTTAATATTTTGTAAGCATTTTGATGTGTCCTCTTGCTGATGTTCATCTTATAAATGCACAGACATGCACAATTTCAGTGGAGATTTGAATGCCTGTGAAGAAAAGGGCTGAGGTAAAGGCATTTGCTGAGAGGTCCTATGCTGCAGCGCAGTGTGAAACACAAATTTCCCTCTATTAATATAAAACTCCTTTGTAATAACTGTATGCATCTCCCTGATGGATACTCTGCTACCCTAGTGTGCTAGAGAGGATACTAGCTAATATAATTGAGGCACCATGAAACGTGCCCATGGAGAGGTACGTTCTGCTACTCAGCATACCTTAGGCATTTGTAAATCTTGTCTTTGCAGCACTGACAGCCATGAATTTTGGGTTTGTGTTGTCTAAGGACGTGCACAAGGACAATCCTTGTACAGTGCCTCAGGGGCAGGCAGTGCAGTGTAAGGTTTTGTGAGCTGAGCAGCTCCCTGGAGAGCTCCTATCCCAGCTCAGGTAGGGTCCATCTGCACTTTGCATGCCAACCCAGCATAAGGCAGCAGAAGCAGCTCTGTGCTGGGAGGAAGTGCTGCTGTGGCTGGGTGGTTTTCAGGGCTCACACCAGCCTGCACTGGTGTGTGTGCCTGTGTTACCTACAGGGAGGGTGTCCTGTGCTCACCTGGCATGGGGCATGCTGGCCGGAGCTCCATTTGGGGATCAAAGTGTGATTTATCCCTGTGACCCATTTTGCCCTGTATCCTTCACTGCTCCTATGTGTTCCTGGGAACGTGTAGGATGTTCCCAGATATTTTCACTATCCTACAGTAGTAGGTATGCACAGTAACATCTCATTTATTGTGAATTGTATGTGTGTGTGTGTGTCCAGCGGAGTCCCATGTGTGCAGCACTTCCTGCTGTGCATTGGGGAACATGAGAATCCCATTAGACTGGGTGTAAGGTTTCCTGCCTTCCATCTGCTCAGTGAACTGCACCAGGCTCAGCTGTCTTGGATGTGTAAAGGTTAATGGTTGCCCTTCTTTCTGCAAGAATTTTATCTGTGCTCTTTTGCTTTCTAACTTGTGTATTTTGCTGTGCATAAGTTTAGGTACCTGATTATTTTGTGGGCTCACATAAAGACAAAGATATTTATCTTCTAGTGGC